CGCCTTCGCGTCCCCACGTCCAGCACCGGCTCCCTTCAGGGCCCTGCCGTTCCCGCAAGCGGCAAGGCAAGAGAAACTCCTTACATTCGGCTGAAGGCAAAGGACCTTTTTCATCCCCTCGAAGGTTGGCGGGACTGACCCTTTTCTTTGCATTTAAAGCGCTTCTGGCTTTAGCTTATAGGAGCGTGATGCATTGTCCGGGTGAGAACCATACAATAAATAACCGTGCTAGTAAAATCTCAGCAATGGATATGCGCTATACAATAGTACGTTAGAAAATAAAAAGTCAGCTCGGGTGGGAAGCTTAGCTGCGTTAAGAGACGGTAACCAGCAACGATTGGGGTTTTTTTTGCGTGTTTTTGCCACTTACCGCTCCGAGGCGAAGGGAGGTGGTGGGAGACGGTCACTCCGAGCATCAGCTTTGACAGAAGAAGTGGGTTACAGAGCAATCCCCGATTTGATGTGTTAAATTACACCAGATTTGTGGTCTTTTAGTTCATTAACTGCATTTTTTTTTCTTAAAGTGCATCGACTGATCTGATTGGAACAAGAACAAGGAGAAGAGAGGCTCGGGAAGGGGGCAGAGGGTGCAAAGACTTGGACTGAGCGATAGAGTTAAGGTGGAGGGGTGCAACGCTGGCAAAACCGCCCCCCCTCCGGAAACCAAGGACACCTCAACGAAAATACTGGCCATATATTCTACAACAAAACCTGCCCGCGTATTGTCGGTCGTCTTAACGAGTGCCAAGCTAGCTCTAGCAGATATTCGGAGAGTGCGTGGTGACCCGGTGCCTACAGTAAGTCAGGAAGGTGGCTATAGACAGAGTCCAGGAGGGTCTGGCTGGCTTCCTGGCTCTTGACTCCGGCGATCTCAAATAGCCTGTCCAGCTTGTCTTCCGCCTGTGGGATCTCCTCGATCACGTGGAGCTCCTCGGGGTTGAGGATGTGCAGCATGTCGTCAAAGATGGGCTGCAGGTCGCAAGGGTCCAAGCGCACCTGGCGCAGGACGGTGTCCTTCTTTTCTGTAGGAGGAAAGAAGAAGGTGATCAAGAAACCACTTGAGAAACCTCCGGGCTTGTTCTCCTCAAAGACCTCGGTCCATCCCTGGTGCCACCTCAGGAGAGGGACACATCAAGAACTGAGGGAAAAGGTGGAGGGTGATGGGGAGGGGAGACGGAGAAACTAACACTGCTGAGGCACCCAATGCAGGATCCCGCTAGAGCAAATACAGCATTTATAAATGCTGAATGGCCAATGTGGAAAAGTGAAGAGGAAGAGGAGCCAAAAAAAGCTGAATTCTGCTCTTTTGAGTTGTTTTTGTTGGGTCAGCTTCATTTCCACGCCCAAGTATCAATTCGGTACATTGAGCTCAGTGTTTCACCTTCATCACAAGTTGAAGAAGATTAAATGCAGCAAAAGTTAAATGGAGTAAATTAAACCCCCTCAAAAAAGGGGGTTAATCAATGGTGACTGACACCTCAAGCCACACACTGCAGCAAGCAGGACCACGGGTGGAAAAAAAAAATAAGTCAGTCTTTAAATGACATTTTTCTGTTTTCATCTCATGCAACAACCCATGGGCCACAAGTCAGGAGAAACCCTGCCCCAAACATCCAGGGATGCTACAATTTCACTTCAAAGAGTTAAAAGCTTTTAAAGGTGTTTTCCCCTTTCAAATCTGTATCATCTGTGCTAACAGGATATCCTGGTCTGGAATGAGAATGTGATAAGCGTATCCTGGAAAGCCAGTTTTCCCAGCTATTTTCTTAAAATGTCGGGCAGCTCTGACACATGTGCCGAGTGCAGGGGGCACATCACAGCACCTCTGCTCCCCTCTGGGTTGATTTTGGTACCTTTGGTAATAAAAGAGCCTGTCCGGCTGAGCGCGGAGGAGCCGCTGGAGGTCGAGTCGCACCGCAGGAGGGGCTCCGCTTCGTCGACGAAGAAGCATTTCTTCTCTGAAGGAGAGGGCTCCACGGTGAGGACGGCTGCCTCGGGGGGCTTGGGGCTGGGGTTGGGCGGGGGGCTGAGCGGGCTGGGGCTCATGGGCAGCGCCAGCCTGTCAGCTTCCAGCTTTGAGGGGGAGAAAGAGAGGGAAAATCAAATTGGGAGGATGCTATGCAATGGGCTTACACACAAAACAATCTGCAACCCAACTTTCAACACACTCTACCCAGCAGTCCCCGCATTCGGGTGGCCTCCTCCTCCCAGGGGACCTGCTGGCCCAGAATGGGCACCAGAGGTGACCCAGGGTGACATCAGCGCTGGCATTTGGCACCCCAGCGCTCCCAGACAGGAAGGGAAATGCAACCCGCACTCTTGGTAGGAGCAGCAGCAGCACGGGGATGGGGCATGCAATCACAGCAGAGCATTTTAACTTTGTTTTCCTTCTCATTTTCAGGTTATTAAAGCCTGAAGTGCCACTCTTGGGGGATAAGGGTGATAATATCCAAGCAGGTAAGTCCCCCCAAAAACCTGCTTCACAGCTATGGTTCCCTCAAAGCAAGGCATAGCCTGGCTCCATGCCTCCCACTGCTGCTGAGGCTGTGGGGCGAGAGCTGTGGCATCCTCAGGGACCTCCACTGGAGCACGGTCCTGTTCCCAGCTACACCAGCACACATTTTGAGTTAATAATTAGTTTGCCCCATCTTGCCCCTGGTCCTGTGAGCACCCCATTAATACATGATGGAGAAATCCACCCCACCTGACTGAGCCCAAGGCCAGGAAGGACAAGCAGGGGCTGGCGCTGACCCAGCAGCACCCCAGTGCCTTTGCTTTTTGCACCCTGATGTCAGCCAAGGACAAGCATTTGGCTTCACAATCCCAAAGCCACAGGGGCTGGGACACACTGTATGCATGTCTCTTCTTGCATCTCCTTCCTACCTGCACAGCAGCAAACGTTATCAACCCTCCTGCATCTCTCAGCACCTCCTCGGGGTGCAAACCTCAAACAGAGCATTTCTGGTTTCCATTCCCCACAGGGACAAGAGGCTCAGGGCAGCATCCCCACATTCCTGGCCAGCAGCTTGGGCACCTGCGAAGGGCACCAGGTCCCCCCAGGGAGGTTGCTTAAAGGACTACCTAATATTTAACTTCTTCCCAAACCCTGCATCCTTGTCACAGAGTGGAACTGCAAGCCCCATCCATGTCCAACCCACTCTCCCTACAGCATTTCCCAACCCTGTTTTCTCCTCCTGCAGAGGGAAGACCAGGCTACTCCTGCTAACACCCTTTAGTCTGCTACCCAGGGATTAAAATGCAAAATTCGGATTAAAGGCTGTGGGAAAGGGAGCCGCTGAGCCACCTCCGTGCCGGCATGGATGTGCCTGTGCATTCCTCATCTGTGTCGAGGAATTCACCACCCACAAATCACATGTCTGCCGAGATGCCCATTAGTTCACATTAAATTAATGCTGAAGCCAGCTCCTGGTAGAATAGAAAGGGGTTTTTTTTTTCCTCCCTCATTGAAAACAAACAGGGGAGGATTTGTTCTAGCTCAGCATAGTTACGCAATAGGCATGTTAAAAATAAAAGTCAGCTTTAATTTTTAATTAAAGGAATCTGCCTTCTCCTCTGAAACTCCCTTTCCAATACAGCTCATCGACGAGCATCAGCCCGTTGCCATTAACAGGGGAAAAGCAAGGGAAGGAGCAGAACAGCGACTGGCCGCTTGCCAAATTGCAGCATGCTCCAATTTCCCCTTTAAAAAACAACAAACAGGCTTTAGGGGTTAGTTTTTTCCCCCCATGCACAACTCGTCCATTTAATATCCAGCCACAAACCCAACTCCCCATTTCTAAACAGGGGCTGGATGGCCAAGGAGCCAATTACAAGGAAGGGCAGGGAGCAGCCAGCAGCCCTGGCTCTGCCTTCCCAGCAGAGGGGAAAAACCCTTCCCAGAAGCGTGCAAGTCATTTGGAGTTTAATTAAACAGCTGCTAAAGCACGCTAGGAAAGGAAAAAACCACCGAAATCACCCGAGGTTATTTGACTGTAGGTGTCCCGGGAGCCCAAAGCTTTCCAAATAGCTGAACGACAAAGTCAACAGGATGCTCGGATGTGTGTTAATATTTAAACTGCGGGAAGAAAGCGAGTGGGAAGGGGGGTTTTGAAAAGCCAGGGAAGCAAAAGGTTGCTGCGAGGTGAAGCCTGTGGGAAAGGTGTAAAAACAAGAGTGCGCACAGCCCGTGACTCATTGCTTGAAACCACCTTGGCCGTTCCTATTTTTGAGGACAGCGGTGCTTGAGCGAAACCCAGCTCTGGCTGGAGAAAAGAAAAAGGACAAAACCAAACTGCTCTGATTGCTTTTTGCCTTTCCAGAGGCACCGTTTCTCACCTTTCCGTCCTCATTGCCGGGGTCCTGCGCTTGCCACTGCGGCTGCATCTGCACCTGCACAGACAGACACACGGCAGCATTAGACACGGACCAGCGTGACAGACCCAAGGCACCGCTCTGACGCATCGGCAGCCTCCCGCGACCGCTCCGTCGTACTGGGGCGCTCCGCCAATTTATGATTTCTTTTTTTCTTCAGCACTGCAGCAAGAGGCTTGCAATGCCAGAAAAAAAATCCTAAAAGCTCCCTTCAGGCTGCGGCTCAAGCACCGACATCCTCCTGGATCCCAATGCGCCTGAGAGGATGCCCTGAGCCACTGAGGGTGTCTGAAGGTCCTTCCTAAAAGGGGACAGAAGGGGATGGGTGCAGAAGAAAGACGACACAGGCTTGGCTTTGTTTTCTTTTCACAGCTGCTCTCAACAGCTCTGTTTGAACTGGTTGGTCCCATTTTCTGCCTCTGTTTTACTGCACCGCAATAAAAACTCAACCCAGACAAACAGAGACTGCAGCTGCTGTGATAATGTCAGGAGGGAGCAGCCGTGGGCATTAAAAAACCCCTCCCTTGGGCACTGCTTTCCTGTAATTCCTCCCGCAGCAACCAGGCAGTAATTGAAGCCGGTGGCAGGTTTGCTGCTGCATCAGCTTTGTGCAGCCATGTTTGGGTTGGGTTTTCTTGCCCCAACACAAACTGCTGATTTACCAAAAAAAAAAAAATAAAATAAAATAATGAGACAATTTGGCAGGAAGCCGGGTTCAGAAGGAGCAAACTCAGCTGAGGATGGCCGCACACCTTCTCGGCACTGGGGATAAATTTAGGACTGAGGCCGCTTGTTTCCCATATTCCCTGCTCAAAGATGACACCCAGCTGACACCAGCCCTATTCCCACTTCTGCTACACCTCCATAGGGGATGTGGTGGGAGAAACCCCGGCACACAAAGCAGGGTGGGCTGGGCAGCAGCCCTGCGTGGGCGATGCTGTGGATGCAGGGTGGTGTCAGTGGAGTAGGCTCTCACTATGGTCCCCACGGGCGTAGGGAAGATTCCGATAAGTGGCTTCATGGTGCACGTGGTGTTTGGGGGTCCACCTTCAGGCCAGGCCAGACCTTGGAAGGTGAGACACCATTGGCCAGACCATGAGGTCTCACCGAGATGGCAGAGAGATGCAGCAATGGGGTGCAGGTGCTGCAGAGCAGGAGACAAGTCCTTCACCAGGATGGGAAGGGCACGAGGGTGCTCAGTACCCTGGGCTGGGAAAGCCTGAATGTCTTCTCCATGTCCTTCACCTCACTGACCAGGGTTCAGGAGAGCGCTCAGCACCACCTCTGTGGTGGAGCTGGCATCCTTCAGCACAAGGTGACCATGGAGAAACGCTACTCAAGTCAAGTCTCATCAGACCCAGGGCAGGCAACACCAGGTTTGGGGAGGGTTTAGACGCCAAGAGCAGCCATCCACAGAGGAAGCAGCTCTTTCCCACCAGCCACAGCCACTCATAGGCCAAGTGCTTCTCCAAACAGGACATGGTGTCTCCATGAGAGCTTCCCGGTGGTTTTTCCTTTCTATGGATTTGCCCATCTACTTTTTCAACTCAAACCATGATGAAGTAGATGGGGCTGTGATGAAGTTTCCAAGCTCAACTACAGGCTAAGTCAGTGTCAAGTCTGGCTTGTTCTCACCCCACCATCTTCTAGTTTCATCCTATGCTCCTGAGCCCAATGTACTGCAAATAGGCAGATCAAGGAGATGTGGCTACCACAGCAAGGAAACCTCAATTAAAAAAACTCAAAACACAAAACTCATCGCTAATTAATTACTGGGCCCAGCCCAGTTCTGCTCTGCCAAAAGAGGAAATGAAGGGGATGGGCAGGAGCTGTCATGGGCTGGATTTGGGGAGCACTGCTCCAGGCTATTGACCTCCACCAAGGGTTTTGACCAGCAAAAGAGGAAGGAAAGGAGCCAAAAGGGGCTGCCACAGCCACGTGCCTGGACACAGAGCCGCTTTCACATCCTTTTCTCCTCTGGCATCCCCGAAAAAACCCACGGCTTAACCTCACACCAGCCCCAGCCCTGACATATCTGCTGATTCACGGGATAATCTGCAGCATGCAATTAGCCATGGACCTAAATCTCGTTGGGCTCAGGGCTGCAGCCTCCCCCACCTCCATTTTCAACATCTCCAATAATATATATATTTTTTTAAGCTTTGCCGAGGCTGTGCTGCTGAATGCCCTGAGCAAGGCCATTCGCTTCCCCTCCATCCATTCCCTGAAATATCCGAGCCGAGGCCAGCAGAGCCATAAATAAAAAGATAAGAGCTTAAACCACTGCTCATGGTAGGACACTTACAGCAGCAAATGCGGCTAGCCGTGCCAGCAACGCCCCAGGCCAGCTTGGGCAAGCACAGACACCCCTTGGTGTCTGCAAAATACTGTTATGCACCCCAAAAAAATCCCATTACCCAGTGCCTGCGCTGCACTGAACTTTGCTGCTTTTAACCCCAAAATGCAGAATTGCATTTTGCTGGGATACCAGTGAAAAACCTCTCCCTTTTTCTTCCCTCTATCTTCTTTTTCTGTTGTTGTCAGCACCACTAATTTGGAGTGTGTCTGTGCTTGCTAAACAGCATCCAGTCTTGCACGCCACTGCCTGGCAAGGGGAAAGATTTAATGCACCCCAAAAAAACCTCCCCAAAAACCCTTCCCACAGCTGCTGTCCTCGCTGAGTTTTCTGGATCAGCTGCAAAAAAAGCCCCTAGCAAAGCTATTCAGAGGGCTAATCTCGTTTTAACCTAAATTCATTCAGCACGAGGCAGAACCACCATAATCTTCCCTGGCTAAGAAAGCGGGTGAGCCTTCAGCAGAGCCATTCCCTACCTGGAGGAAAACATTCCTGCCATGTACCATACGCTCCAGAGGCTCCTTTTAATTCCTCTATTCCTATTGTGGGTCGTAAATAGTTGGATTTCAGAGCCTGAGCGCTGCTGAGGAAAGGGGGCACTCTCTTCCTAACCATAGCTTTGACTCAGGCTTTTAAATTCATTTATTTTTTTCCATCTTTGATATAAAAAAAAATAAATATCTTGGATCATGGTAGGAAATGAGAAAGCTACACGCTGCTAAATTACCAGGAGCTGGAAGGAAGAAAACAGCAATGGAGTATGAGCAGGAGCAATTGGGCAGCTGGTAAACAAACCTATCCAAAATTTGGGCAGGACACAGGGGGCAATCTTTGGCATTCACCTGACTTAGTGCTTCTCAAATACACAAGCCCAGGACTCCTGCTAACACATGAAAACCTGTGATTTCACCCTATGGTTCCAAAGGACCAAGATGTTCATACACTAAATGCAGTCATTAGGACTCTATATAGGGGTCCTTCTATGTAGGGGAAGGTTTGGGATGGTCAAAACAGGATTTGGGAACTCCCTGCACCAACAAACGCTCTCCTCCACCAGCTTTGCTATACACGAAGGTCCACCTTGCCTGGCCTCCACCAAGCACCCAGAGAGGTTTGCAGGCACCCATCTGTGCCCCTTTGGGTCTGGGTCACCAACCGGTTTAGGGGGAAGAGCCCTCCCTCAACTGCCCTCACTTCTACCCATGTGTTGTCTCATTGGCTTCCATGTTCAGAAGAAGCCCCATCCACCACCTCTATGAACACTCCCAGAAGACCATTGAATTGTCAGAGCCCAAAACCCAAAAGCACACTGACAGGTAAGGCAGGGGTGGCCAAAACAAACTGCAAAGGTCACCAAGGCACCTCCCAACGACTTACACCTGCCCGAGACTGTAATGCAGGATATTCTGCAGCAACTTAATTTATTCTCCCAAAATATGAGACAGGTTTTTTTAATGCCACAGTTGCCAAAGAAGGGCAACAACTATGGAGGCGAGCACGTATGGACTCCCTCAAGCCATCAGTCGTGACCTCAGAGGAACTAACTCGCTATTCCACAAGAGCAACATTTAGTGATCAAGGAAGCTTGGCCTTTCTCACAAAATCCTGGGCATTTAGTTATAGCGTTTAAGAGCAAGTTTAAAGGAGGGTGCTTTTTCCTCCACATCCTCAACATGAAGGCTCAATTACCAGGTCATCCTGGTGACCTTCAAAGACACATGCAAACCACAACATGCATGACTCAGGAGCTTGTCAAAACTTTGAGAAAGTTTTGAGCAAACTTTGGCAAAGCTTTGCTCAAAAGCAATGTAAAGCTTAAATGTAAGTCCCTGAGGAGCTGCTGGGGGAGATGGAGTCCAGCTACCTGACTATCAGCTAAGCTCGAGGCCACAGCCATGTCCCATACACTCACACGCTCACCACAGCCAGACAAGACATGCACCACATCAGACAAGAGCCCGTGAAGCCCAACCCGTGTCGTTACCGGCGTGGTGTCCTCCATCAGGCCTCGGATCTTCTCCACCACGTCATTGCGGCGGTGCTGCCGGAGGGCGCTGATGAGCTGGGCCAGGCTGGCCTCGGGCCCGCGGATGGTCCAGTGCTGCAAGGCGGCGTAGGCGCGCTCGTGGTCGGCCGCGTAGCCGTTGGAGAACGCCGCTACCTCGCGCTCGCTGGCGTTGCACAGGAACTGGTAGATGTCCTTCCACTGGCTCCCCACCTGGGCTGCCACCAGCTTCAGGATGTCGATGCCTGTGGGGTAGAAGAGCTACAAGTGAGCCATGGGGGGGTCTATGGGTGATAGACCCATAGGCTCCTACAATTGAGGCACATGCACTCTGAAATTAACGATGTTAATTTCACCATAAAAGTTTCTGTGCTCTTTGGCACAGGAAAAACCTTGGTACTCAGCCACTAGACAGCTGCAGGAGCAAAGGAGATGGCAACATGCTCGCATGTCACCTGCACTGCAGCTACCGCTTTGAACGGGAGCTGGATTAAAAGATGAGTCACCAAAGCACCTCTATAAAGACTAATTTTTCCATAACACAGCACCTATAGCACCCACAATCGGATTTAGGGCCGTTTCCAGTGCAGACTGGTGGGATGACTCAGTTATGGGATTGGAGACCAGGTGAGCATTGGGTGATTGGAAGATCTGGTGTGGGATTGGAAGAGTAAAATGGCAAGGCTTCCCCAAGAAAAGCCCTTGAGACATGTTGGGTTAGACGGTGAGGGTTTCCTCCCTTTACCTCTGGGAGCAACGCAAAAAGCAAGTTCATCCTTGTGTCCACAGAAAGATCAGGAGTTAAACCTTCAAATAAAGCCACACCTCGTCCATAACAGCTCATTAACCTTGTTTTACCAAGCCAAACACCACCTTGTTTCAAATCACCACACAAAGGGTTGGCAGAGGTGAGCTGGAGAGAAATTCACTTTTTCCAAAGAGGTAACCACACCTCAGGTTTCCTTGCAAGCCAGCACGTCTCCATCGCTGCAGGGAACATTTCTCCTTCCCTCTGCAGGCACAACAGCTTTGTCAGCAAAAATAGCTGCTTACAGAGGAACAGCATAGCCAGGGTGTTTCCTGCTGCCCTATTATTAAACAATTTCTAATGCTAAACAATTTCTAATGCAATTTACACCAGACCTCCCTACTGCAGCTTTGAATTGCAGCCCTGATATAGCCAAATAGATATATATATATTAAATAATTAAATAGCTGTAGATAAGATATACAGCCTGATAGAGATATAGCGATACCTCTTTTTATATACATATATATCTGTAAACAACATTGCCTGATATATATTTTTATATATATGTGTGTGTGTGCATATATGTCTGTGTGTATATACATATACGTCTTTTTATATATCTCCATATAGATATTTTATATGTGTGTATAAATGCTTATACACACACACACAAACACACACACACACA